CTCTAGCTTAGGAAGTAACACTCCCTCTGTAGGGGGGCCCTTGCTGTCTCCTGTCTTGCAGGGAACAAACAGCTCATTTTCTAGGATCTGCCACAAGAGAAATCCTAACTTATAAATCTGTAATTCCTTCAATTCCTGAACAAGGGTTTTCATATAATATTTGGTATAAAGTTTGGCTTCCCATACCTGGGCACGCCAAAACTTTTCCAAACAGGGTGAAGAGAAAACCTACTGACTAGGAACGAACATTTGGATTACCCTATCAGATAAGGGTCTCATAATGAAAAGTTTACAGAATACTATAGGTGCTTCACAAGAAAAAGATAACCAAATTACAAAATGGACAAGAGACATGGAAAGACATTTCTCATTCAGATAGCCAACAGGTAAATGAAGAAATGCTCAAAATCACTAGCAACAATAGAGCTGTAAATCAAAACTCCAATGAGATACCATCTCACCCCAGTAGCAGTGGCAAAGTTTAACAGGACAGCAAGCAATAGATGCTGGAGAGGATTTAGAGAGACAGGAATTCTCCTACATTGTGGGTAGGATTGTAAAGTGGTACAACCATTCTGGAAGACACTTTGACGTGTCCTCAAAAAGAACAGAAAGTCCATATGCCCCAAGGAAATTAGGAATGAGACACAAATGAAGATTTGTACACGAATGTTCATAGCAGTGTTAGTCACCATAGCAAGATCATGGCAACAGCCCAGATGTCCAACTACAATTAAATGGACTGAGAAACTGTGGTAAATTCACACAATGGAATACTATGCAGCACTCAGGAGCAATGATTTTGTAAGTGACTACCTAACTTGGGAGGGACTGGAGAGCACTAGGCTGAGTGAACTAACTCAGTCCCTTAAGGACAAATACTGTGTAAGAGCATTGTTTTAGAACTAGATACATAATAAAACCTATGAGGCTCCAACGTGGTAAGGGGGGGAGCAAAGGGATGAGGATGGGCAGGGTGTAAAATCATAGGGTGGCACAATTTGATGGGAGAAGAGTGAAGGTAGATAGGAAATGGGAAAGATCGGACAGGAATCTTAAAAGACAGGGCACTGGTGGACATCGTTTAGTGCAGATTGATTTTATAAAAGCTAACTGGAATGATAGTGTGAGACACAATGTGAATGAAGAATAGTGTGAAACAATGTAAATGAACTTTGTAAGCAAACCCATATAAAAGATTTTTTTAAAATGCCTATGGCATTGATCTTTATGCATTCCGGCTCATTTTTATGATTTCAGATGTTCCTTGAACTCTTTTATTTTGCACAACCTGTGTTCTGATTTTGAGTGGGTGTTGGCAGGTATTTTTTGTTCTCTCCAATTGGTTGGTGCCACATCAGCAAATGAAGCTCTTTCCCTGGCTGGAAACTTTACTCCACATTCTGAAGGGAGGCTCTGCTTTGAGGAGGCATCTGTTCTGTCGTATTTTGTGTCTTCCAACTCAGGGCCTCCTGTTCAGGGACTGTATCTGACAACTTTGCACTGTTATTCCTAGGATTTTCAATGGACAATTATTTTTGAAGTGAATAGCCAGCCCTGCTTCCTAGAATTCCTTTGGGAGCTACACTAAAACTCACCCACCCTGGGTGACCCTGCTGGTGTGGAAAATACCACTGGCATAGCTTCCAACCAGAAACAGAGTAACAGGCAAGCCTGCACAGTTAAAACTTTGCAAATGTGAGGTACTCTTAACCCATCAAGGATACAGTATAGCTAATGACATAAATAAGGTGAATGGAAGTTTTCTTGTGTAAATCACAAGGGAGTAGGGAAAAAAACCCCAAAGGATAATGTGTATAATGTTAATGTGGGGATTGATAAGTTTGGGGTTTTTTTTGTTTGTTTGTTTGTTTTTTGGGGGGGGGTTTGTTGTTTTTTTAAAATTTTTTTTATTGTATTATTTTTACGTGTACCGTCAAATCAGATCTGACAGGTACAGGAGATTGCCCCCTCCTTCTCCAGCAGAGCATCTGGTAGATTTGAACCGCATACCTCTGGAATTGCAGTGCAGCGTCTTGCCACTAGGCCACCAGAGTTCCCTTGTTTTGGTTTTTTTTTGGGGGGGGGTGTTGTTTTTTTGTTAATTTTTTTATTGTATTATTTTTATGGGATTGATAAGTTTGACCAACGCACCATACCCCCAGTAGAGTGAGCCAAACTAACACTTCTTCCTCTGGACCTGAAATCCATGCAGAACAGGCACATCGGAGAGATCGAGGGAAACCAAGAGATGGAGGGAGATCACCTGATGACCGAAACAGCAGCAGCAGTGGCAGAGACCCAGGAACCAGCGAGAGGGGCCGTGGGGGCCCCAGCGGATGGAGACAGTCTCCTGTGGTATGGGAGAAGAGCTTCGACTGTACCACGGACTGACAAAAGAACAAACTGACAAATCCGTCTTGGAGGACGGGCTCCTTGTGAAGCAAGGATGGTGAAAATTCATCTCCCACACTCTGGGCGTGTTGCCAGGAGGGGAAGACACTCAATGCGACAGATCAACACAGTGACTGTGGCAGTGGGCTTGAGGACGTCCGTGATGGTGAGGACGGCACAGGATGGGTCAAGGCTCAGCCGTGCTGTTCGCAGGGTCTCTACGAGTCACGGCTGACCAGCTGGCATCTAACACAACTCAGTGTTAAAGAGTCAGAAAGCCTAGATGAGGAAGGCCATTAACATACACCAAAAAGACACACAACTTGGGATCCAGGTAAAATCCTGCCCTTATCAGGTGACCTGACACTTGTCTCACAACCTTCTAATCCAGCACTGCCCTTTCCGACCACCTTTGTGGGAAGCCGAATATTAAATTTAATATTAATAATACACCACATGCTCCATCAAGATAATGAGGGCAGCTTAACACAAGCTGAAGGTCACCTTGTGGCACTAGGGCATTTCCTAAGAGTCAACATTGTTCTTAATTTATATTTACTGAATCCCTCCCTCCTGAGAGAAGCATAAAGTAAATAATAGAGAAGAACTCTGCCTTATCTGCAAAAGACTTCCCCATGATCCTTTGGGTTTTTTTCCCTACTCCCTTGCGATTTTCCTTTGTTTACCTTCCTGATGATTCTCAATAAATGCACAGAGAGACAGGGCTTGGGCGCTTCAGTCATCAGGACTGCTGGCCCCCTGTCTTTACTCTCTCTTATCTCATTCTTGGCTGTCTGTCTCATTATTAATAATCATACAAATACTTTATCCTCCGTCTGCAACATTCTGGTGCCCGAACTTGGGACAAGGTGGGGATTTCTCTTTGGATAAAGAGGTGGTCTGCCTTTCTTTATTTCTTGTCTCACTCTTGGCTGTCTGTCTCATTATTAATAATTATACAAGTACTTTACCCTCAGTCTACAACACACCTTCCAGGTGGATGTCCACCTATGGCTTAACTGAGATACCAATGACCATTTTTGGTTTTAGAAACACACAGGACAAGCTTCCTCCACAGACACTGGCTCGGATTGATGCTGTTTAATGGGCAATGCTACAAGAAGGACTGACGTGTACATGTTTCTGGTTGACGACTGGAACGTGCCTGGCTATTGACAGAAGGCACCTGGCTATCGATGGAATGGGTTTGGCTATTGAAGCACAAAACCGGTGTCTGCAGAGGGTGAGTCTACTGGACGTCCCTGCAGTTTTATTATTTGCTGAGGATCAACTTTGTAGCTTGGAGACAGCTTCGGCTTCTGGTCCCCAGGCACTCACGTGACGTAATATAAGATGTAACTGATCACTGAGGGCACCATCACGTTCACGGTGTCCATCAGGTTCCTCGGCTGCGCCGATTCTCTGGTCTCTCCCGACGGTGCGCATCCAGCCACAGGCTGGCCCACGAGCACCAGGCTCCTGGTATTCAGGAGTCCACCGATGCTGACTGAGGTCTGAGCGGGCACAGGAAGCGTGTGGATGGTCAGAGGACCAGGAGGGCTCTTCCCCTGCACGAGGTCATCGCTGGCACCTGCCGAGGCTGGGCTCTCCCTGGACATGTCTTCTGCCTTGACGGGCTCTTGGTCCTTCTGCCGCTTGTGTTTTCTCTTGTGGGCATTAAAGTTGGAGGCGTAGCCGAACGTCTGCCCGCACTCGTTGCAGCGGTAGGGCGTCTCGCCTGTGTGGGACCGCTGATGGACGACCAGCTTGGGCCTCGTCTCAAAGGCCTTCTGGCACTCGCTGCACTGGAAGGGCTTCTCGCCCGTGTGGACCTTACGATGTCGGATGAGGGTGGACTTCTGCGTGTAGGACTTGCCGCACTCACTGCAGGAGAAGGGGACCTTCCCCGTGTGGAACCTCTGATGGGCGATGAGGCAGGCCTTCTGGCTGAAGCCCTTGCCACACTCCCCGCAGACGTAGGGCTTCTCGCCCGTGTGCACCCGCTGGTGAATGCTCAGGTTCCCCTTGTGGTTGAAGCCCTTCCCACATTCCCCGCAGAGGAAGGGTTTCTCTCCGGTGTGAGTCCGCAGGTGAATGACCAGGCTGCCCTTTTTCTTGAGGGCTTTGCCACACTCGCTGCAGACGTAAGGCTTCTCAACTCGGGGACTCTGCTGTGGTCTGGGGAGCTGGGGCTCGAAGGAGCCGGGTTTTTGAATCTCAGCACAAAAGGGCATAGGATCAGCCTGAAGAATGGGCTTTTTGTCACCGTTCAGCTCAGCAGAGCCTTCCATTTCCCCGGCCCTGGCCTGGCCGGCGGCCGTGAACGCTGTATGTGGTCTCACAGACTTCTCATCTAACTCAAGAGGACTGTGACGGTCCCTTACCGCAGAGTGACTTCTGCGCTGCTCAGAAAGCTTTCCCGCGGGGTTATGTCGACAGCTCTGGTCCAGCCTGTCCGTCTGTCCTTCACAGTGGCAGTGACAACACAGACGTCCGTCGGCGTCCTGGAATTCTAGAAAAGAAAAGCCCAGTTGGGGTGACTGAATGAAGACATTAATGACAAATGTACTCAGTGAGTGAATGGAAATCCAAAGTCTCTGTAAACTTTCATTAAAATAAAATTTTAAAAAAGCAAACAAAACACAAAGGCACTGATGGAGGGTGGATCATAGAAACAGTGCTCTGAAAACAATACTACAAATAAAACAGTAAGCTGACAAGAGAGGAAGAAAAAAAAAGGCAAAACCCTCCCTAACAAAAAAACCCTTCGTAACACAAGCCAGTAATTATGGGAAGCCAAACTTTATACCAAATATTATATGAAAACCCTTGTTCAGGAATTGAAGGAATTACAGATTTCTAAGTTAGGATTTCTCTTGTGTTTGTTCCCTCCCTGCAAGACAGGAGACAGCAAGGGCCCCCCTACAGAGGGAGTGCTACTTCCTGAGCTAGAGTTCACCCTGAGGCATCTAGGTTAATAGTTAAGGGTAACCCAAATTCTTGCATTTGTGAACCCCTCCCTCCTGAGTCAAGCAGAAGGTTTTCCATAGAAAGAGCTTGGCTTCATTTGCATTGACTTCTCTTTGTGATTTACTTCCTGATAATTTTCAATAAAGACACAGAGAAGCTTGGCTTGGGGTCTTCAGTGGAGAACTGCTGGCCCCCTGTTTTATGCTCTCTGCTCTATCACATTCCTGGCTGTTTATCGCTTTATTAATAATTATAAAATTATTCCATTCTTTGGGACCCTCGGTCTGCAACAAGTAATAGCGGAATGGAACAGGATAAGAATCTCACAATGAATGAATGGATTTGGTTGCTTTGTAAATGAAAGACTCAGACCCACCGGTGGGGAGTCAGGGCTCCCTCCTCGCTGACACTCTGCTGGGTTTTCAGAGGCTGTAAATCACCCAGGACAGAAGACTCTCTTTCTCCTGTGAAGCTCTTGGTGGATTCGATCACCGGGAGAGGTGTAGCCGTTAGGAGAACGGCCCTCCTATGGATGTGGCCACAAGAGCCACACAGCAGGCAGAGACTGTGAAGGACCACAAAGCCATGGGGACCAGCAGACCACAGAGGCTCAGGGCCTCCAGGTTCCAGGTGGTGAAGGGCAGGTTCATCTACTCCGTCATCACCACGGCCAACCACGCCCAAGAGCCAACCATCGACAGCTCAGCAGCTGAAGAACAGCCACCGTTACATTTCTCAGACCAGTTCTCTCTCTCTTGCTCACACACAGCAATAAGCTGCTGGAAATACAAAAAAAAACACCACACACTCCTAGGGAGCTCTGGTGGCCTGGTGGCAAGAATCTGCACTGCCATCCCAAAGGTAGGAGGTTCAAATCCACCAGAAGCTCTGCTGGAGATGGACGGGCAAGCTCCTCCTGCACCAGGGCGATGGCACACAACTAGAAAAACAAAGAGAGGAAAGAAAAAACACAACAGACTCCTAATGTTGACAAAGCCCTGGGCCTATGTTCCAGTTTGGTATTTGATTTAAAAAAAAAAAAAGGCAAGGAGGAGAGCTCTGGTGGCCTAGTGGCAAGAAGCTGCACTGCAATCCCAGAGGTGAGCGGTTCAAATCCACCAGATGCTCTGCTGAAGAAGGAGGAGCAATTGCCTCCTGTACCAATCAGATCCAACTTGACGGTACACACATAAAAACTAATAATACTAAAAGGAAATTTTAAAAAATTTTTAAAAAAAGGGAGCTCTGGTGGCCTAGTGGCCAGAAGCCGCACTGCAATCCCAGAGGCAAGCAGTTCAAATCCACCAGATTCTCTGCTGGAAAAGGAGGGGCAATCTCCTCCTGTACCAGTCAGATCTGATTTGACGGTACACACCCAAAATATAGTAAAATAAAATGTATGAAAAATACTTAAAAAAAATTTTTTTAAAAAAAAAGGCAAGGAAAGTTACAAACAACGTGGCTTCAGATTGTGGAGAGTGATTCTTGCGAGCTGGTGGCCAAGGGGCAGAGGGAACGAGGGCACGATTAGAAGGAAGGGAAGGGCAGTTGCGTTAGCCCCGTCACCACACGGGACTGCGGGGAACTATCTGTGTGAGAGGTCTCTGCTACAGGGCTGCCCAAGAGGTCACACTCACATCTCACTGCCATCAAGTAGGAATCAACGCACAGCTGTCCCTCCAGCGGGTTTTTTGAGACGGGCATGGGAGCAGAGTGCCCGCCCGTCTTCCTATATGAGGCATTTGGTGGATTAGAACAACCAGCCTTTGGGCTGGCAGGCAGGGCAACTCCTTACCTCCAAGGCCACCAGATAAACTGACGGTTAACAACGGGCTCAGGTGTATCAGAGGTCCTGAAGGGGGTGGGGGTGAAGGACAGGGGAAGAGTCAGATCTGCTGTCCCTGTAAGTCGCGGTCAATGCCACGGGACCGAACAACAAACCCTGGACAGAAAAAGAGGTGCCACGTGGGCAGAGGGTGACAGCAACCGTGACGTGTCCTCAGGTTAAGGTCTCAGATGTCAGGTTTTCTCTCAGTGGAATGTCTCCCATGACTGTCCCCTCTTCCTGCTTTTCTCCCGGCTCACCTGAGACATTTCGGCTCCGGCTCTCGCCTAACGCAGCCCGTGGTGGTTCTCTGCGCTCCAGTCTGGAGAGTGCATGGGGTGCGCGTGCCCGATACCCTGTTCGGGGAGGGGACATCACATAATCTTAGACCCACCGGCTTGGCCTGGGGTTTGCGAAAACTACAGAACTCATTGTACTTGAGAAGAGGAGAGAGGAAAAAAAACACAAACAACTGTCAAAGTGTTTCCCTGGCAGGCTTCAAAGACTATGCTTAACTCTACAGAGAGACAGTGCTGGGTGTGGGCTCTGCCGCTTAGAACACAGACTCGTGGGAAGGTGTCAGGAGCGAGGTCAGTGACCGGGTCGATGACAGGGGAGCCGGGCTCACCTATGGACACCAGGTGGCTGAAGTTCTCCAGCATCACCTGCCGGTACAGCGCCTGCTGAACGGGGTCCAGGAGCTGCCACTCCTCCCAGCTGAACTTCACCACCACGTCCTCCAACGTCAGTGACCCCTGGAGCAAGAGGACTGCGTTTAAGCAAGGATTTCCAACCTGCCCCAATGCTATGAACAGCGTGTGAGGGAAACTGGTCCCCCTATTTGTGTACAGGCCACTGAACCTACAGACCTTTAACATCTTACAGGAAAAGCATCATCAACGTCTCTGGATTTGTGAATTCCACTGTCCCTTTACACAGGAAAACTCTCATTTTCTCTTTAGCATTTCAATGGTCTCTCCTGGTTAAGAACCTCCCACAGTTAAACATATGCTCGGAGAACACATGTACACTAGAAATACAGGCACATATAGTGTTCTTGAACCAAAGACCAATCATAGTGACCCTGGAGCAACAGATGAAACCTTAACGTGTCCAGTTCTACCCCCTCAGTTCTCTTCCAAGCTCAAAGCCACTCATGCACACTGGCTTTCTTTTTTCACGCACCAAACTCTTCAACGCCAAGATTTTCTCTCCACCCCATCTTCAGTCGCCCTGCCCCCTTCCCTTCCCTCTTTGTCTAGCCATATCGATCTCACAGTATATCCTTCTGTTTTTACAATAATGGTCTTATAAAGTATCCTTATAGTCAAGGCTAGATGGATCTCAGCTGAAAGTACTAAAGGAAGGTCTACCTGTGTTGGACTATGTAAAGACATTTGACTGTGTGGATCACAACAAACTGAGGCTGACTTTGAGAAGAATGAGAATCCCAGAACCCTCGACTGTGCTTATGCAAAACTATACTTGGACCAGGAGGCAGTTGTCAGCACAGAGCAAGGAAACACTGTTTAGTTCAAAATCAGGGAAAGCGTATACCAGAGATGCATCCTATTTCCCTACCTTTTCAATCTATATGCAGAACAGATCATCCAGGAGGTTGGGCTCTATGAGGAGGAATGTGGCATCAGGATTGGAGGAAGACTCATCAACAACCTGCGTTATGCAGATGACACAACCCTGCTCGCTGAAACTGAGGAGGACGTGAAGTGCGTGCTGCAGAAGGTCAAGGACTACAGCCTTCAATATGGATTGAAGCTCAACATCAAGAAAACAAAGATTCTCACCACTGGGCCACTTGGCAGCATCATGACAGATGGTGAAGAGATTGAAAGAGTTAACAGCTTCAGCTTAGCCGGCCCCATAATCAAAACTCTTGGTACCACCAGCCAGGAAATCAAGATGAATTGCACTGGAAAAATCTGTTGTCAGGGACTTCTCCAGAACACTAAAGAGCAACAGTGTCAGTATGAAGAATAAGGTGCACCTGATTCAAGCCTTGGTTTTTTTTCCAAGTACTTCCCATACAACTGAAAGTTAAGACAGTAAAAAGGATGACAGAAAAATCGATGCCTTTGAGTTTTTATGTCAGAGAAGAGGTCGGATTATCCCACAGACTGCCAAGAGAACAAGTGCGTCTTGAAAGATGCATAACCAGTGTGCTCCTTGGAGGCAAAATGCGGGTGAGACGTCATCTCACGCACTTTGAGCACGTTGTCAGGAGGGGCAGAGACATCATGCTGGGAACAATGGAGGGTCCGAGGAAGAGAAGAAGCCTCTCGATGACCTTGAGAACATCAAAGCCGGCGAGGACAGAGCAGGACAGGGCAGGCTTCACATGTGCTGTTCACAGGGTCGCTGTGGGCCCCAGACGACGTGAAGGCACCGAACGGCAACATTTCCCTAATACATGCCACAGACTGTGAGCACGCGACTTGTGTGCAGCCGCCGCAGGGACGTGCCACGCCTGGCACAGGAGCAGAGGGCCCCACGGGATGGTCACCTGGTGCTGAAGCCGGGACAGAAGATCGGAGGGCAGAGGTGCGGTCGGCCTTCCACATCACAGAGGGTGCTGGCCTGGCCTAATGTGGGTCCCCCGTCCATCCCTGAACACGAAGAGGCCGGACCCCACTCACAGTGTATATACTATTCCTACTCAGCAGAGAGCGCCAGTGGCCGAGTGGTAAGGAACTTCCCCACCAACCCAGAGGCAGGTGGTTCAAATCCATCAGGTGCTTTGCAGGAAGAAGACGGGCCATCTCTTCCAGGGTGACTTACAGCCTCTGAAAAGCCATGGGAGGGTCCACTACGAGTCCACTGAGACTCAACGGCACACAGCTGGCCCTTTCTTTCTTTTTTTTAAATTTTATTTATTATTTTTGTGTGCGTGTACTGTCAAATCAGATCTGACTGGTACAGGAGGAGATTGTCCCTCCTTCCCCGGCAGAGCATCTGGTGGATTCGAACCGTGCACCTCTGGGACTGTAGTTGCAGCTTCTTGCCACTAGGCCACCTGAGCTCCCCACAGCTGGCCCTTTCATACTCACTCGCTCGCTGCCGTCGAGGGGAACACGCTCACAGCTGACCCCTCGGAGAGTTTTCGGGAGGCTGTCAATCCCACAGCAAGACACTGCCCATCTTTCTCCCCAGGAGCCCGGGGGGGACTTGAGCCACCTTCAGATTGGCAGCCTGGCTCCCTACAGATTATACCACTGGAGCGCCCTCCATTCCTGCTGGTCTCATGAGACAGGTATCCACGCAGATGCTGCAGCTGAGGGCAAACCACTTCTGTAAACTTTAGAGAAACTACCTACGCAGGCAAAAGCTCTGTGGCAGATTCAAGTCTCCTGAGGAACTGATCTTTCGACCGGAACGACCCTCTTAGGCTGGCCAAAGAAATGGGAAATGTAAACTTACAGCATAACTCCAAGAACACCCAGTCACACATGATGTCCAGCACCAAGAATTTAACAATCTGGGAGACAGATCTGACCCTTGCCTTACCTTACACCAACCAATTGTGGATGACATGGTAACAGGAAAATTGTACTTGCTTTAGAAATGACAGATGCAAACTGAGCGAATTAAATTGTCAAATAAAATTGGATATTAAAATAAAAAAAAAAAGAATTTAACAATCTGTTGCCTCCACCTGACAATCACTTGGGCACCGCCACACTTGAACCCCTTGATGAATTTATTCCTAATCCCACAATAACTGAAGTGAGAGTCAAATTCCAAATTACTGACCCACCAGTTTCTCTTTTTCACCCCCAAATGTTTACTCTCAGAGAACTGAACCTCACGTGGGGCATGTTATCAAGAGGCAGCAAGGAATCTCAGAAAAGAGATATCATAGGAGGAGGGAGGAAATGATGCAACAAGGAATTAATTTCTTTTACGTGAACTAGGGCAGGGGTAGGGAGGCAAATGTGCAACAATGAATGAAAGAATGAATGAAAATCCAACTTGTCTGTAAACATTCATTAAAATAAATTTAAAAAATAAAGATGTTGTGCTGGGAAAAAGCAGAGCATCAGAGAAAGATGAAAACCCTTCTTGGGATGGACTGACGCAAGGACCTTGCAAATGGACTAGAGCGTGTCAGAGACAAGGTTCACAGGGTCGCGAGGGGTGACAGTGACCTGAAGGCACCTGACAGCTAAACCCCAAATCCATGAGTTAAAAAAGGAAAGCACGGAGCACTCACCATCTTCACTGGGCCCTGGAAGCCCCTCTCTCCGTGGGTTTTCTGGATAAACTCTAATCTCTGCTCAGGTATTTCCGTCTCCTTTGAAGTAAGTTTGGGAAGTGACAGTGCCCCCCGTTCCTCCAAGCCTGTCACACGGCCTCCCAGCAGTTCTCTTGACGCCGGGGAATCAGGACCTGCAGGCTGTGGGGATGGCACAACGTGAGGCTAGGCATCAAGTGTGGACCCAGATCCAGGGACTGTGCCCGGCATTCTAACAAGAAACCTCTGGTCCTACCGACCGTCCAGTCTGACGACTCAGAAGACTGTGAACCCATCGACCAAACAAGCTAAGCTTCACAATGGGTATGCTGTGTGTCCCATGAGCGCCGGCACCAACACAGCTGACCCTTTGGCGGCTTTTCAGAGACAGTGAATCGCACGGGAAGAGACTGCCCAGGAGGAGAATGTGCACAGATAGAGGAAAGAGGTGGGGGGCTCCGGGGGCCGAGTGGACACGCAGCCCTGCTGCCAATCCAAAGACAGGCGTTTCTCATCCACCAGCAGGTTCACGGGAGAAAGATGGACCGTTCCCTCCTGGGTGATTCACAGCCTCTGAAAAGCCGTTGGAGGGTCAGCCAGGAGTCACCTCTGACTCTGAGGCACGTAGCAACCTAGGTGAAAGATTGTTGTTATGTGCCATCGGGTCGCTTGCGACTCATAGCAACCCTACCTATGTACAAGAGCCCTAAACACCGCTCTAACCTGTGCCAACCTCGCTGTCTCAAACACACTCATTCCCACCTCCCCGATCACAGAATCGATCCATCTCATCGAGGGTCTTCCTCTCCTGCGCCGTCCTTCCACTCTCCCAAACATAACGTTCCTCTCCAAGTCCCTCCTTACAACATGCCCAAAGTATGTCAGACGAAACTTCAGAATCCTTGACTCCAAGGAGCATTCTGGCTTCACCTTCTCCAGGACAAACCTGTTTGTTCTCCTAGCAGTCCATGGTATATTCAACACTCTTTTCCAGCACCACAGCTCAAAGGCATCAATTCTCTATCATCCCTAGTCACTGTCCAACTCTCCGATGCATGGCATGTAATTGCAAAGATTATATAGCCTGGATCAGGCGCACCTTAGTCTCCAGCCTGACGTCGTTGCTCTTCAGTACTCTTGAGAGGTCCCTCACAGCTGACTTTCCCAATGCAATTCGTCTCCTGATTTCCTGGCTGCTGTTACCAAGAGTGTTGACTGTGGAGCCAAGTAACCTAAAACTGTTAACTATCTCAATCTCTTCATCATCCATACTGAACAGCACTTGGACCATCAGACACAAACGTGAAAGAAAATGAAAAAGAGAGAAAAAGCCTGATCACTAACTCACAACATGGAACACTGTGAATCAACAGGTAAAGGAAACTATCAATGAAGACGAAAAATCATTCCAATTTTAAATAACTAAATTCACACACACACACACACGGCTCTGTGTGTATATGTGTGTAGCCCTCAAACACCAAAATGTAGGATAGTAATAGACAGATAATAACTGAACGCTGGAGAATGAGGGAATGGTTCTGACCATGCACTCAGGGTCCAATGTGCCGGCAACTATATTCCTTTCAGCTTCTAACAGCCCTATTTCATCTCAGTGGCAACTCCCAGTCCCGCACCCTTCACCCGAACTTACAAAGGTTTGACTCTTTGTCTCTTTTATGATGTCATGAAATGTCATTATGGCTAGGAGGTCAAATGCCTCTACTAAGAAAGGCCTGTGATATCTTACTTCTACCAACAGTCTTCTTTTATTATTATTATATTTTATTGCTGTAGAAGATAAACAGAGCAAAGCATGCATGAGCTTAACAATTTCCACGTGAACAAGGTGACAGTGACAATGGTGACATTCTTCAATCTGTGAAACTATTCTCTTCTCTTTTTTCCAACTTATTCCTCCTCTATCAATACATAGCCACTTCTCCCTACGCTTCCCAAGACAATCTTTCAAGTTGTTGTCATCGCTTTGCTCCCAAAGAATAAGTTCCATGTCATCGCTGTTGTTAGGTGCTGTCGCGTGCACTATGACACATACAGACTCTGAACAACAGGATGTGGATCCTGGAGTACCCAGTGTCATGTGCAGGATCTCCCACAAGTTCAACTCTACTGGTACAGTCACTGTGTCAATCCTTCATGTTGAAGGTCGTCTTTTCTCTGACACTCCCACCTTCTCCAGCATGAGGTCTTTTTCCAAGGACTAACCTCTCCTGACAACAGGCCCGAAGTGCGTAACTACGTTTCACCATCCTTGCCTTTAAGGAGCAGACCGACTGCATTTCCTTTCAATCTTGTTACATATTGAGTTTATGTAACTGTTTTGCTGAGGAACGCAAAAGGACCTCTCTGAACCCAGGTTTTACTTGTCTATTCGGAAGTGGTGTCATATCTGTCTTCCTCCACCGGCCTGACTGGCATTTCTGCTTAATTTTTCTCTATTTCCTTACTGAGAATGTACCCTTAAGAAACTATAACCTGGGGAGCTCTGGTGGCCTAGTGGCAAGGAGCTGCAACTACAATCCCAGAGGCGAACGGTTCGAATCCACCA